ACGTGACATTTCTTACATATCCACAGAAGTTGCTTGAAAATCGAGGCACTTTTACCGAGGTATCGACTATACTAACAATTTTTAAAATAAGCACCGAATCAAATCTTATAATTACTGGAGAACAGCAGGATGACAGACACAAAGGTCATTCCAGTAGCTGTCCTGGAGCCAGTGGTCATCAGGGAATCTGAGGCTCTCCTGCCACTTGCCGCCCCCTGAGCCAGTCTCTGCTGGCACTGCCCAAGTAGCCTGCAGGTTGACACAGGTCTGGGGTTGGGGAGGGACAGAGAAATCAGGAAAGATGCAGATCTGGTGCTTCTTCCTGTAGCAATTTGGAGCCAGTTGGGCATTTCATGGAGACTCAGGATGTAGATCATTAAAGAAACTTCTGGAGAAGCTTAGCATCTCACTCTGTTGCAGAGGTGCTTGGAATCAGTGTCACTCCTGGGTCAATATCTGGTTTTCCCAGCCGTGGGGACAAGGCTCCTTCACTGTCACTTCACTTCACTGTCCTTCACTTTACTTCACACTTATCTTCCCAGGGAGGGTGGGGTCACAGGTCGACAGCCAAGACAGTCATTTCTCACACTCCCCCATCTTTCCCAGGGCCTCGTGTGAACGCTGTGAGAAGCCACGCCCGTCAGGTTCCCAGCAAAGATTCCATCACCTTGCGCACAGCCTTTATCAGTATGTCCTTCTCAAGGTCTAATTAGAGGCTCTGCTGCTGTCATGCACATTTGTTTCCTTCCTCGGCACCTCTTTGCAGGTGGACAAGAGCTGCTCGCTCCTGACCCCAGCCTCTCATCTGCCTGCAGTTTCTTTCTTGAAGTCCAAATCCCGGCCATCGCCCTGGCAGATGTCCTAAGTGCTCTGCTGGGTGCACTCTCATTTCCAGTGCCTTCCTCTCACCCACCTACGCACAGTCCCCTGTTACCATCAAAGGCTGGCAACTCTCCCAACCTCCTAACCAATGACGAGCGGATGGACGGGTCTGTGGGGCTAAGGCTGCCAGACAGTGCAGCCATTTCATATTAATGAACCCCACATTAGGTGAACCCCACTTTCTGGACTGTCCATAGCCCATCTTTTTTGTCCTGGATTCTTTGGGTCCCCTTCCTCCCACTTATGGGACTCAACCTACCATTGCTCTCTGGTGGCTCTGAAAGGATTCAGAGAATTTTTTTTTCTGTTAAGACATTAGTTGAAATAACAAAGAATGAGGACAGGAGGCCACTGCAGATAGGGAAGCCATCCCAGCCCATGACTCACCCCTCCCCCACACCATGTTGTCACACCTGGACAGGGCAGAGGGCAGGACTCCATTCTCCCCCAATCTCCGCTTGCTGGACATGCATGGCAGTGTGTGTGTGTGTGTGGGGGGGGCGCACCAGGGCAGCCAGACACCCCTGTCTTGGCTTAGCCTCAGTTTTCTCCCTCAATAAATTCTCTCCCATGGATGCGTGGGGGTGAGTAAAGGAACCCAGTGACCCTAATGGCCCCAGAAAGATCATTAGAGTTGGTGCAACCAGAGGAAAGGGCCCACCAGGGGATGGCAGCGCGGCCTGGCCTGTGCCAATCTTGAGCATCACTTGTGAGTGCCTGATATGGGGTGTGTCTAGGCCAGGGGTGATGGGGATGGAAGCAGCCCTTGCTCCCATCTTGGGGTTGACCAGCTGGCTGAGCACTGTCTGTGAGGTGAGTTAGTGTGAGGGTGTCTGCTCGGGGCAGGGGTGGGGGGTTGTGCAATGAGAAATTGGGTGTATTCTTGGGGACAGGTTGTCCCCATGAGTTTGTCCCATGCTCTAGCCTCTAGTGGCCAGGCTGAAGAGAGTCTTGGAGGATGGATGGCCAGAGCCACACCTGGCGGTGCACTGTTGAGCAGGAAGCTCCCTAAGTCTCTCTCCAGGTGGGAAACTCTGCAAGATGGATGTGCCAGGCCAGCTGCCACAGACCAGCTACCTGGGAACTTTCTTGGTGGCCTGGCCATGCAAAGGATGCTGCCCAGCTCTGATCCCTCCCCAGAGAGCTTCCGGAGACTGCGGCTGCACAGCAGGGCAGTCAGATGTCCTGGGGATGAGACCATTGGTCAGAGCACGGGTGTGGGCAGGAGCTTGGTCCATGGACCAGGCAACACCCTAGAGAGGACAGAGCAATGCGAAGGAAGGAAGGTGGCCCGTGCTGTACAACTGCCATGTGATCCAGGCGAATGGCAAAAAAGAAACCAGCTTCCATCTGGTTCATGCTGTCCTAACGCTGCGGCTGATTGATTCAGTCCCTGACGTCTAAACATCAGGCCTCTTGTCCCTGAAACAAGGCACTTCTGACCTCAGGAGACCTCGTTTCGATTGGGGCCAGACGCTGTGCCTCCCCATGCAGGATGATCCCCACCGAGGCCGCCCGTCAGGGGGTGTGGCTCTTCTCATCTCCCAGTGCAGCCTGCCTGGTCTCTGACCTCTAGTTTCTGACCTCCAGGCCACCCTGCAGACTCCTGCATCTCCTGCTGTGTGCGGGGCATTTATCGCCCCTGGGTCTCATCCTTCTAACTCAGGGTGAGGCCCCTGAAGGCAGAGCATGGCACCAAGCCTGTCTGGGCCCAGCACCAGGCCCCTGCTGCTCAATGACGCTCTTAGAAATCCCACCTTATAAATGTCCTTTGCATATGTCCTAGGCTCCAAGCAGCTTCCCACGGCACAGTGGGTGACAGCTGGACCCAGGACAACAGCATTTCCAGCTTTCCTCATGCTCTCCAAACGCAGAAACTGCAGGCCCCGCCCCTGAGACCAACCAAGCACAAGCCCGTGGCTGCACAGTGAGTGTCCCTGGGGGCCTAGGCCACTCCTGCACTTTCTCCCCCTGAGATGATTAGATGATGGGACAGGTCACGGGTAGTGGGAATGCCAGTGGCCTCATGGCCTGTGGGGGCCCCTCCCAAGAAGCCCTTGTCTCTGGGCATGTCAGGGAATGGGTGGTTGACATTCAGAGACCCCAGCTCCTCCAGCCGGGGGTTCCTCCTCCATAGTGAGCCTAGGTCTCAGCTCCACCTGCCAATAAAGGACCTAATATGTGCTTTTTATGGTTTCATCTTTATATTCAGTGACACTTCATTTTGCAGAAGCTGCTCACCCCAGAGCTCTTGGGCTGCTTCCCAGAGGTGGGATTGGGGCCAGCTGGTCCTTGCAGTGCCAGAGGCTTGGGGCATGGAAGAGCCCACACACAACCCCTGCTGGAGCAGCCCATCCCAGCCCTGGCCCCTCGGCCTGGCTCGACCCTCCTCTGGGTGGCTGAAATAGGCCCAGCAAGGACCACTCAGAAGGGAGGGGTGCAGCTGAGGGGTGGGTGGGAACAGGACCTTGTCTCAGCTCCTGAGGACCCTGTCAGGAGTGCTGGGACCAGAGGAAAAGGGTGGGGAGATGGCCCAGAAAAGGTGATAAAGGGAAGAGAAAAAAGACCACATGCCAGAAAATTCCAGAACCAGACACCTACTGACCAAATAACAGAGAGCGCTCACTGACCAGCCTCTCCGGTTCTCCATTCAAGGGCTCCGACCCCGCCCCACAGCCTTCTCTGGTGCTGGAGTCCCCACATCCAAGCCCACCTTTGCTGCTCGAGTGTTAAGGACCATCCTACGGGGAACCCCAGAATGAAGGGCAGGAACTCATGTGCAAGCCTTGGGCCAAGAGCTCGGGGCCTCAGTGAGGGAAATGGTCTCTGGCCAAGGAGGAAGCGAGACAAAACACCTTCCCACTGTAGTAGGGCAGGGCAAAGACGCCCCGTGGCATGGAGCAGACAAGAGGCCAGGCTCCGCAGCCTCAGTTTTCTCATCTGCAAGTGGCATGGAGATGCTAGAAGGACCTTCAGAGGCCATGAGTCCTCCTGGATTTTCCTACGAGGAAGCTGACATCTGAGGAGGAAGGACTTGCCACCAAATTTGCGGCACAGCAAAAACCCAAACACTGGGCCCCCAACCTCCTCCCCAGGGCTGTTATTATGACCTCTGCCCTAAGACACCACCGGACACACACCACGAACCTCAGGATGAGAGAGGACGGCAGGGCAGGGCCTCACCCCACGGGGAGCAGCGCCCTGCAGCCCAAGGGAGACCCAGAACGGAGGCCCCCGAGCAGAACGGAGAAGGCCCGGCTTCATCAGCGCGAAGACTGACGCTGGACCAAGCCAGTGGGCTGCAACACGTGTCCCTGCATCACCTGTGCGCTCAGGGGCTGTGGCACCTGTGAGGTGCCCTCAGCTTTCTGGGAAGGCAGAGTCTGAAGCTGGGCGGGGGCTGGGGACAAGAGGCTCTTTCAACTTCTAACCTCACAGTCTCCCATAGGAGGGGTGAGGAGTCAGTGAGACCAGCTGGGCCACCAGAAGGTGTGAGGACCAGAGTGTCATCAGGGTGGCTCTCAAAGACCAGCTGCTTCCCTTCCCTCCCAGCCACACAGCCACCCAGGACCCCCACTCCCCCTCCCCACGGACCTGGGAAGCGGCTCCAGTCTGGCCCCAGGACTGTTGTGGGCTGGGGGAGGCAGACAGGCCTCCGAGCTTCTCCCACAAGCTCCTCACTCCCCACAGCCCTCGGCAGACCTGGGGCAGAAGGGTCTCCCAAGAGCCCAGCCGGCACTCAAATTCCGAGTCCCAGTGTTTTGGGGGCTCTGCCATTGTCACCGCGTGCACCTCCACTTCAGCCATCCACAAACTGCAAAATCTCCCACTGCAAGGACATGTCACTGAGCATCGCCACCCTCCTCTCTGTGGACATCTGGGTTGTTTCCAGATGTGTTATTATATATAACACTGCTAAAAAGGAACCTTAGGAATCAACTTGTTAGTGGGAGAGGCGTTCACCAGGGCCAGGGAATGGGGGGTCCCAGAGGTGCAGACGGCACCCTCCCCTCTCCCTTTGTCCTGCTTGCTCCACAGACCTCTCAGGAGCCACCAGGCCAACCCCAGACCAACAAGACATGTGTCAACCCCAGGTGGAGCTCGGGATGGTTCCCTACCTGCTGCGGCGGGGCTCGCCCTCTGGAGAAGGAGCAGCTGCTGTTGAGCTGCTCGCCGCAATCCGCTGTCCACTGCAGAACAGAAAGGAGGGGTCGGTGACGGCAGAGCAGACAGGCTCACCTCACTCTGCCCCCCGCCATGTGTCCCTGCCCCTTGGCCTCAGAGCTGTAGGAAACCCAACTTGGCATTTTCAATGGCAAATCCTTCCCCACCAAGGTGGCCTCTTGCACATTCCATACCCAGCTCCAAAAGATGACAGACTTGGCATCAGGAAGGGGAGCCCCAGACTGGCCATCAGAAGCTGGGCTTGAGCGTCCCCGAGTGGGATCTGACAACCACCTGCATGAACGTCCCCGAAGTCTGCTCTGCAGGGAACCTGGGCCTCACCATCCACCCACTGAATTGGACCCCGTGAGGTTCAAGGACCAGCATTCTGACAAGCTCTCCAAGTGAGGCACCAGGAGTTTGAGAGACACTGAAACGCCTCTGATCACCCACGTGTCATTTTGTCATTCACAAAATGGGGACAGCAAAATTGGATAACTCTGCAAGGCTGAGACAAAGGTACTTCGGGAGCCATAAAATACTATGTAGGCATCACGTCACAGGGGTAGGAGTCTCCTCCCACCAAGGGCAATCCAGCCACACGGTGGCATTAAAGGTGGCATTAAACGTCTGCTCGTCTCTCCAGTGCTGCTGAACCTTACTCTACACACTGACCATGCATAAAATGCAGAGGGCGCTCAGTCCCTACAGGTCTGAGCTTCTGATCAAAACTGAGCATGGAAGACTTATCACCAACAAAGCCCTGGTTTTCTAAAACCTTGTCCAGGCACAACTCTCCAGACAGTGGATCAAGGACTCGACCTTTGTACAGGACAGACCTTTAAGTATGATGCTGACGATGGAGACTGAGTTCAAGTGTGCTCTAGAGCAGCACCTTCCAAACCAAATGCAACAAGAGCCACAAATAGGAGCTGCAGACCTAGTCCATATTCTAGTAGCCAGATGGTTAAAAGAGAGGCAAAGTTAAAGAGTATATTTTACTTAGCCCAACATATCACTCGAACAGGTAATCAATAAAAAAATATCAGTAATGAAATAGTTTGCAATCCTCTTTCCACACTAAGGTTTTGAAATCCACTCAGCACATGAGTTTGGATGAGACACATTTTAAGGGCTGCATGTGGCCAGCTCTAGAGAAATGGCAAAGGCGGCAGATCCACTTCTTGCCCATCCCTGTCCCTAGGGCAGAGGGGCTGACCTTCCCAGGCTCCTGTCAGCTGCTTCCGGCTGGGTTAACCCAGAAGATAGGAAGGAGGGAGAAGCCAGGGCAGGCTCTGTCTCCGTCTCTGCATCAGATGGCATTGCTAGCTGTGCCTGGGCCTCTTCCCAGTTCCAGCCCTCACCTAACAGGCTTGGATGCTTAACTCTGGGCCTGGTTCTGGTGACACCATCTCTTCCTTGTGCCTCACAGGAAGGGGTGATAACACTATCTGTGGGTGCTAATTTCTGGTAGTTTAGCTTCGTAGCTTGTTTACCTTCTGGGTAACTAGTTCTCTGGATTAAATTCTCTCTGTTTGGATAATTCTAGTCTCAAAATATCTTCCCCCTCAACATTTATTCATTGAAAGACAAGAAATCTACCAGCCATCAGTTTAACCAAGGGAGCAAATAAAATATGTCAACATCCTGGGCTTCCTAATATGGTGCAGAGTGGGAGGGTACATCGCTTTTAAGGTATTTGTACTCAAAATGCATAATCTCAATGTAATCATGAGAAACACCAGGAAACCCAAATTAATGAACTTCCCACAGAATCAGTGACCAGTGCATAACAAATGTATCAGGGTTGTGAAAGAAAAGGAAAGACCAAGATAGTATCGGATTAGAGGAGAATAAGGGCACATGACAACTAAATGCAAATTTGGATCTTGGCACGGAGAAAGGATGTTAGTGGCAAAACCCATGAACTATGAATAAAACCTCTAGTTAACACCATTGTACCACTGTTAATTTCTTAGTGCTGATCATTGTACCGTGGTCATGTAAGAGGTTCATATTAGAAGTTGTGTTACAGGGAACACTTGGGACTATTCTGCACTTTAGCTGTAAGTCTAAAAAAAAATCAAAACAAAAAGGAAATATGTATGAATACATGTACATGTATCCACTATGCATACAGACATATGATGTGTACATACACATTTTGGATTGACACATTCGTATGCACATAAATGGCTACATGTGTGTCTGTGTAGCTTGCACTACTGTGAAAGTCCCTCTGCTTTACCCATTGGAGTGGTTTTCCTCTCCAGCTAAAGTCTGGCCAAGGAATAAGGTGACTATTGCTGTCCCATCCCAGGATGGCCTCTCAGATAAAGTCTTTCCCTTTCCAGGTGTTCCAAACACTTCAACCCCAGATGTGCAGCACTGTGTGACATCCTATAGAGAGGACGGGCACAGCTCCTTCTGGGGTCAGCCTGCCCCTCACAGGGTGACAAGCATGCAGCCAGTGTGCCTGCAACCTCGCCCCCCCTTGGTGAGCCCACCCAGAGCAGCTCCAGGCTCCAGCAAGACAGCCCTGCTGTGACTGCACTTTACATTTGCTCACCAAAGTCTCCCACAGTAAAGCGTGTTCCTCGCGGGAGGGGTAGGATACGTCAACCAGCAGAGGTGGGGATGTGCAGTGGGGAGGAGGAAGGCCAGGCTCTCTGCAGGGCCATGAGGGGAGGATGGCAGAAGCCCAGGGTTCTCAGAGAAGAGGGAGCCCAAGCCAGGCCTGTGAGCAGGGGCAGGGGAGCGCTTCTCCTTGATGGCAACAGGCTCACAAGCTGCAGCCTCGGTTCTGGCCATGTCCTCTGGGGGGATGGTGTGTCTTACTCGCAAGGGTCATCCAGCCCAGAGAGGCAGGACGAGTGGGAAATTTTTCTATATGGGAACAGTTTACATTGAATTCACAGAAGTGGTTTCAGGGTCTCAACCATAGCTGATAATATCTATCTTAATTTAAAAGTCTAGAGCAAACAAGACACAAAGTTAAGTTTTAATAAACATGTGAGTACAGGTATTTATTCTGAACTCAAAATGGATGTTTATTTGATTATTCTCTACTCTCATCCATACATTTTAAAATTTCACAGTTAATAAAATTACAATCAGTCATTTCAGGTTGGCAATAGTCTTGAGCAGATGCTGGGGAGGAGGTGGTCACAGGTGATGAACACTGTAGGAGGAGGAGCAAGAGTAAGGAAACCTGGGGTGGAAGGGGCTGGGGCCTCAGGATCAAAAGGGCCCACTTCTCACAGTGTCTAAAATTCCCCCAGGTACAGATATCAAAGGCCACGCCACAGGAGAGCCACATCACATGGTGCATCAGCACAGGAACAGAAAAACAGACGGGCTGATGACCCTGCACCTAGAAGCCAATTAACGTACAACGGGAACTGGGAACACGATAAGGAGAGCACTTTAAATTAGGGAAAGGAGAGAGTCATCAATAACCACATGGAACTGAGCAAGCAGCCGCAGCTAACAGAAAATCTCCTCTAGGTGTCCTCCTTGCAAGATCCAAGGAAAGAACATTCCAAGTTGATTAAGATCTGAGAATCAAGTTCAAACTACATCAACATTTGAACTTCTGTGTATGTGACACTAGAAATCATGAGCAAGAAAGAAGATAAGTGAGAGGCCACGGGCAGCAGGTGTAGCCAAGGGCCCCTGGCTGGAGCTAAGTCCAGCCCCTTCCAGGCTGTGATGCTGATTGACATTTCCTCCTCATAGCCCCCGAGGGCTCTTACTCTCTCCTCTAGGCCAACGGGGATGGAGGCACAGCAGGGCGAGTGCCTTGTCCAGGCCCAAACATGGCAGAATGAGCAAGGGCTGAATAGGTTTCCTTCAGAGCCAGGAAAAATGGCGGCACTGAGTGCAATGTGTGGTCTGGAGTCCACCAAGGTCACAGCGGGGACTTCTTTTTCAAATAAAGGATCTGATTGGGAAATTGGTGAAATACAAGATACATAGATTAAACGATAGTTTTGTATCAATGTTTATTTCCCATGGTATGATTATGTAAGAGAAAACCCTTGTTCTTGGAAAACACACATTGAAGCATTTAGGGATAAAGGGGGGTAATATCTGCAACTTACTTCCAAATGGTTCAGAGAAATCCATAAAAACAAGCTTGTGGCTTGTGTGTGTGTGTGTGTGTGTGTGTGTGTGTATATATATATATATATATATATATATACAGAGAGAGAGAGAGAGAATGTGGTAAATATTGACAATCAGGGACACTGGATGAAGGACATGCAAAAATTCTTTGTATTTTTATTGTGATTTTTTTAATGTAATTTAAGATATTTTTGGATTACTCCTCCCCAAGCGGCCTCACTTCCTCACCTCCTTCAAATCTTCCAACAGCCCAGCTGCCTGGGTCATAAATATTTCACCTTTAACATCCCATATCCTGTCTTCCCCACCAAAGATAGGCCTTAGGAGGGCAGTGATCATGGCTGGTTCCATTCATGACTTTGTCCTGAAAGCCTACAACTGTGCCTGAATGAATAAATATTAGCTCTAATTATATTTTACTACTTAGTACCTGGCAGAATAATAGAAGATCTAAACAACTACACTAAAACCACCACTCGAGAATGTCAAGGAGATCCTTCTAAATAAAAAGCAAGGTAAAATTGACCTGTATGCTAGAAGCACAACTTTGTAAAAGGTGTATAAGAAAGAATAATACACAAAAACTATATGAATTCTTATCATAAAATGACAGTGAACTTCTTTTCTGTTTCTCATTAATCTGTTTTTCTAACTGTTGCTTTTAAAGTAAAATTTAAAAAGAAAATATTTTTTTTTTGGACTGGGGGTTGAATTCAAGGGTTCTTTCTCACTGAGCTACTTTCCCAGCCCTTTTTATTTCATTTTGAGACAGGGTCTCCCTAAGTGGCCAAGGCTGGCCTTGAACTTTTGATTTTCCTGCCTCAGCCTGTCCAGTCCCTGGGATTACAGGCACGTGCCACCGCACCCTGCTACAAGTAAAATAAATTTTAACCTACTTAAAAAAAAAATGACTGGCAGTCAGATTTGAAAGTGCTCAATCTCACTAGAGATCAGCGTGATGTGAATTAAAATGGCAAGATGTCCCGACATGCTGGTGGCAGTGTGAACAGAGCAGCATTTTGGAGAGCAATTTGGCAATAGTCATTAAAATTAATTCCACTCCGCAGTATCTAGCTAAAGAAACCCTCTTATGTGCACAGAAAGAGGCCTGTCCATCCAGCAGAATACACTGAAGTTCTGGGTATCTCCAGAGGGCAATTGAGAATTAGACTGGACGGCCAGCACCAAGCGGGTACCTGGAGAATCCCACACCACGGGCTGCAGGGCGGCCAGGAAACAGAACCCGGCAGATGTCCAGGCTGGCAGCACCCTAGAGCGACGGTTGGGTGAACACTGTGAGTTAATGAACCACATGTCCACGGGCTACAATACATGATTTTGAAATAAAATATTTCTGAAAATCATGTATATGTCAGTAAACGCATTAAAAAGGTGAGGTCATTAACTCAGCAATTTGATATTAGGGAAGGGCAAGGGAGTGGAATGAGGTAGGATCCAAGGGAGATTTTGTTGTTACTGTTTGAATTCTTGCGCACCGTGCAAATGTATGCATATAATGACTGTATAACATAAAAATAAAACAAGTGTGTCACAGTACTGCACTCCAGTGGCTGGAGAGGCTGAGGCAGGAGGATCACAAGTTCAAAGCCAGCTTCAGCAACTTAGCACGGTTCTAAGCAACTTTGCAAGACTCTGTCTTGGAATAAAATATAAAAAGGACTGGGGATATTAAGGGGTTAAGAGCCTCAGGGGTTAAGTGCCCCTGGGTTCAATCCCCAGTACAAAAAAATTAATAAATAAACAAAATTTTTAAAAAAATTTCTTAAACAAGGCAAAAATATATAAGGGACCCCCATGCGCAGCCCCCCACAGGCCTCCTACAAACTCACTTCTTCTGTTAATCCTTTCATGGGTGGTCCACCATTGAGCGATTCCTCCTGTGAGCAAAGATGGCGGGAAAATGGATCCAAGGGTCGGAGGAGATGCAGAAATGGGATAGAGTGTGGGGGAGGTGACAGGGAGCAGAATAGAAGCAGAAACACAAGAAGAGAAGGAAGACAGGTTAGAAGGCGACAGTGAGCCAGCGTGAATGCTCTGGTCCCCCTCCATCTCCCCTTCTGTCTCTCAAAGATCCTTTTGAGCAAATCCTGGGCTTCCAGGTGCTGGACAGCATCGAAAAGGACCAGAGGAAGGCACCTTCACCCTCAGTGACTCTTAATTTGAGCCGTTAAGGAGAACACTCTAGAAACTACACCTCCAATAAATGTGCCTGCCCTTCACTGTATCCTACCTCCCATCCTTCCCAGAGACTAGAGGAGGCAGCTGGCCTTGCAGAAAGGAGACACTGGGCTGTCCACACCAGCAGGACATCAGAGTCACTTGGGGCTTAGAAAAAGTCTGTGCCCTGGCCAACTGGATCTCTGGGTGGGACCTATGCACCAGAGTTTTTCAAAGCTCCTGAGTGGTTCTGCTCAGCCGTTGCAAACACTGCTCTAAAGCTTTCAATGATTCCCTGGGTCACCTACTAACACCGGGAGTGCCAAGGTTTTCCCACCACAACATCCCAATCTCTTCAACAGAAGAGTTAATGACTAATGAGATTGGGAGTCCTAATTCTCTTTCTACAGGAGAAAATATAATGAACCATCCAACATCCTATCAGCAACAGCTCATTGCCACCAGGGAGCCAGAGGAAGGTGAGGCTCAGGTTGGTCTCCGCCACCACTGAGCACGGTGATTCGGCCATTTTCCACCTCTGTGCCTCAGTTTCCCTCCTGCAGAATGGAGTTATAATTCCTTCAGAGTGAAGACAATTGTCAGGATGTGGGGACTTAGAATTTATTAGAGAACAGGTAATCCTGAAATGTGGAATAAGAATGTGATTTTAAATATAGATGGGAAAGAGTTTAGAAACTGAAAACATACATCCTCGCGGCTACTCATGTAAGGAAGGGAAGCTCACTCCATTTATCATTTATCTATTTATCTGTCTATCTATCTATCCATCCACCCATCCATCTACTTTTTCTTTCTAGTCCTTGCTGGGCAAGGAATGGGGACACCACTCACAAGCATCTCATAGTGTCCACTGTCATCTTTCATATCCTAAAAAAAAAGACCTCACCCACTGAAGAGTAACATTCTTCTCTACTCCCTCAAGATTCTTAACAATTTTCCTCTCCTAGACACTTCAAAACACCACCACAGACAGGCAGACAGACACATTCTTTGAGTGGTTTTTAAAAGAATTTTTTGGCTTCCATTTAAAATATTCATCAGATTAAATAAAAACAAGCAAAGTGCTTTCACAGAACTATTTTCCATGAAGCTGCATCACAGGGATAATTTTTTTAAAGAAGTGTCTGAGGTAGACACCTCTAACCCTGGGCCTTGGGTAGAGTTGGCCACAGCCGTCACTCCTCTGGAACCTGTGCCCAGGTATGTTTGTGGATGTGTGGGCAGACAGGCAGGGACTGGTGTGAGCAGAACAGAAATGGTCCCCCTCCCAGCAGCACGCAGGCTGGTCTGGAACCCCTCCCGGTGCGCGTGCCTTCTCCAGGAACTTCAGAGGGTGCAGAAAGTTTAAAGCCTGCATCCGGAACAAGAGGTGCCATTGCCCACACTCTGCCTTACAATAAACATCGTTTAAAAGTCCCTCCAGAGTCCTGCCTTGGCCGCCTCTCAGATCTGGGTGTCCAAGAGTGAGTCATGTCCAACTGACCCTGGGAGCAGGAGGCAGAAGCGCAGGGCCAGCCCTGCCCTGAAAGTTCAGCAGCCCCACAGGCAGAGCAAAGGTACTGGTGGGGCTCTCCTTCCCAAGCTGTCTCCCCATTGGCTCAGAAACCCTACCATGGAGCACCACTTGGGAGGCTGAGGCAGGAGGATTGCAAGTTGGAGGCCAGCCTGGGCAACTTAGTAAGGCCCTAAGTAATTTGATGAGGCCCTGTCTCAAAAAAAAAAAAAAAAAAAAAAGTCTGGATGGAGCTCAGTGGTAAAGCACCCCTAGGTTCAATCCCTAGTACAAAAACAAACAAACAAATAAACAAATAAAAGGAAGGAAGGAAGAAAGAAAAACTCTACCATGGCAAAACATTTCTGGGTGTGACGCTGCACAGCTTCCTTGGACCCTCCTCCTGCAAGGAACCTTCCAAGGATGCCCTGCTGGAGGCCCAGGGTTCACACAGTGAGGGAGGCAGGCCGTTCACGCCACCGAGCACCAGGCCCCATCCTCTATGGATGCTCCTGGGGATGTCAGCTCCACATGCCTCCAGGGGGCTGTGAGAGCTACTTCTCTTAGAGCTGGTCCTGCCCTTCCTGCCCTAGTCAACCAGAAGAGGTTGACTCTTCTTGGAAATTTTCCAGTGCACCCTGGCTCCCTCCACTCCCACCCCAGGGCAGGATGTTGCTAACTGCAGAGCGAGGTGGTTGAAATCGAGAAATCAATTAATGCGTCCTCAGACAAGACCCTACCTTACACGCAGGACATTTGTAGATCACAGGGCCATCCCACCCCACTCCCCACATGCCTCTTGGGTCAAAGCCACGCCCTCCACCACCCTTTGGTTCTTCCTTGGGGATTTGGAGATCGGCGCTTGATGGGTGAGCAGGTTCAGCACCCCCCTCGGCCACAACCCCCTCTCCTGTTGGGTTCGCCCTCTGCCTCACTCAGTCCCGTGCTCATAGCTGTACCTTCCTGCCAGCTCCTGCACCTTTCACCCTTAACCTCAAACCCCGCACTCAGGGTCAGCCCACCTAGCTGCCAGCTCACTGCCTCGGGCACCAGAACTCCAGCAAGTCCTCAGCTGGCGAGGACTCCAGTCCACTGACCCATCACCTTTCAGCATCCACTGTCTGGCTTGGTGCCTGCCCCCCTTCTCGCCTGGCAGGACATCCAGCTGGTCACCACTGTCACTCTCCCCTGTCCCTTACCTTTCTCCCTCCTGTGTTCCCTAAGAAAGCTCAGTCCTGGGTCAAGGTCAAGTTCAGAACTCTGCCCCTGAACTGTCCTGTCATTTTAGGTGCATGGCCTGCAGGATGAGCTGCTGGGGACACAGAGAAGGCAGGCCCCAGCTACACACCTCTCCCGGCGCATTCCCAGCCCCTTGCACACTGCTTTTGAAACTCCTGGGGGACCTCACTCCCCCCAATACCACCGCGTTTCCAGCTGGGCACCTCCAAACAGTGGTTCGACAGGCCTTGTCTCCTCCCCATCTCCTGCTCACCCCCAAGCCAACCCCAGCCAGACTGCGTCTCCACCGCTCCACGGGGACCTGTCCAGTTGCCACCAGCCCTCCCCTTACGCTGGCTGGCAGCAGTGTTCCCAGCACCCAACCTCGCTGCTTCCCCGAACACCTCCTTCCCTCATCCTTCACCACTCCACTCCCCCGGGGGGCCTCCAGGCTCCTGGGACTCTCTGGGGCTCCTCCGCGTAATCCTTCTTTCCAGTTGTTGGGTGTCTCCAGGGCTCAGCCCTGCGCGGCCTGCCTCTCTGCCCTGCACCCAGCTTTCCTCTCCCTCTGCCCCAGCATGCCCGCCCCCTGGCCGGACGCCTCCTCTTCCAGTCCAGCCTTGGCATATGCTGTTCCTTCTGTCCCTATGGTCTCTGGCTGCTCTAATTAAAATCCCAAACCCTCCTGCGCTTCCTCACCACCACCCCTCTTCCATCCTTAGGGTGGCAAGGATCACCCTGCACTGGATCCTAAGTTCCATGAGGACAGAGCTCTTTGCAGTTTTGTTCACTCCTGGATACCAGGAGTGTCCTATGGAACCCAGGATGGGCACTCCATGTACCCCCGCGGGCCAGGCAATGAGCAGGTGACAGGCTCACAGACGTGAGATTTAGAACCCTCAAGGGCACAGAGGGAAACATCACCTCTATTTCTATTTCTCCCACAAGGCTATTTTCTGCCCCCTTCTCCCAGGTCTGAACCCAAGGAAAGCCAGGGGTCCATTCTGGCTTTCTAAGAAGCTGGAGGGCTGAAAACTTCCTCCCCACTGAGAGAGAGAGAGAGAGAGAGAGAGAGAGAGAGAGAGAGAAAGTGCACCAGGTGGTTACATTTGGCTTTTCTCCAGAGCAGGGCTTGCCACTGGGTGCCCAAGGTCACATAAGCAACTAGAAGCAAATCTGGAATCAACTCTAGAAAATATCTACAGGGGATTTATTAGACAAAGAGACATGGGATACACATTTATACTTTATTCAGGAGAACTCAAGACTTCCAAATCTTGGCCCACAATCTTTCAACTGAAGTCAATTCCTATCCAAGGTCAGGGCTGCAAAAGACTGGCCCAGGAAGGGCAAGTGCCACCTGACATTCTGGTCAGAAGGCCTGTGCCTCTGACTACATAAGACACGTGGAACCCTGGGTGAGGGGCTCAGGACACTCACTTCTTAGGCTGCCAATATCTGCTTGCATTTAAAATCAGAGAAAATGTCCACAAGGTTCAGCTCTCTGATGGTCCACACTGTAAATAACATACCATCTCCAGGTCTCTTCTAGAATATGAGCTTGTAGAGAACGGGGAACAGTGCCCAGAAGATAATATGTGATCAATAAATTCATTTTCAAAGACTCATGCGTCTGACTGGGCCTCAGCTGCCCATGGTCAGGAAGAGTAGAGGAGGGTTCAAGGGTTAAGCATGTACAGCCGGGCAGCAGGGGGCTTCTCACCTAGATCCCAAGGCCTCTCCTGTGGGATTCCAGGTTGGTTCCGGGTGGGACCAACCACACCTTGGCACTATAGGGTCAGGTGATGGACACTTCCTGGAATCAGGGTCCCCTGTATCACGCCATTGAGTTTGCCAAGTGCCCTTCCCCAGTGCTCACCTGGGAGATGTGGGACTGCGTCCTCTGGCTCTCAATGTCACCCTCCGTCTTGTCGGTCAGCAGCCCCTGCACCTGGTACTCCAGCACGTAGCTGTCGATGAAGCGCTCCAGCTCCTCGATCTCCTGGGATCGGCTGCTCCCAGCCTCCGAGGAGGCCGAGGCTGCCGATGAGTTCTCCATCCCTCCAGCTCAGGGGTGTGGGGCCGGCTGGAGGGAGAGAGGAGAGACAGGCTGGTGAGAGGCTGCCGGGTGAGCCCTGGAAGCCCCATCTCCTCCGTCCCGGCATTCGTCTCCCAACGGCTAGAAAAGCTGACAGGGTCCTGGCTTGTCTTCAGCTTTAAGAGCATCCGTGAGTTCCCACCATGTGGGGAGGGAAACTGAGGCCAGAGAGGGCAGGTAAGTGGCCCAGGCGGCCAGCACAGGAACTGCCGCCATGATGAGGTTGCTGTGCACCAGATCTACGGCCTGGGAAAGGCAGCAGAGAACCCAGACAGCCCCCAGGCCCTGGCGCCCCAATCAGACGTAACAAAATCCACCACAAAGCAGAATAAACAGACCACAGACCGGGTGTCCCTGATGATGTCCTCGCTAAGGAGGTGCCGGGGGTCCCCAGCCACAAACCAAAGCCCTCCAAGAACATGCCTCCTTCTAAAGAGACTTTCCCCCTCCAATCACTTTTCCCTGAATTAGTTGAAGCCCCCAGGCCTCGGGTTATCAGCAGTTTTCCAGCCTTGCTCCTGGGACGTCTGGTTTGTAGGAATGTGACTGACTTAAAGTGACAGAATGCAAATGGCCTGGGGCGGGGGGGGGGGTTGTTGTCTGTGCTGACGTGGCCAGTTGTGCTGTGTGGAAGCTGTCTGGGCCACCCTCCAGGGGAGCAGGACCACCCCCACAGGCCTGTGGCGTGCTCTCTGGCTGACTCTGGCAGACATGATCAGCCGTTCCTGGGAAACCAGCTAAGTCCACCAATGACACTGTGGGCCCTCCTGATCAGGCTGGGCCAACCCAGCCCCGTGGGGGTCCGAGCCCTCCGGGACACCCCCACTGTCCTCTCTCACCCCTCGTCCCTGCAGTCAGAACTCACTCAGCTGGGAGTGAGGCAGCTAGAGTCCTCACCTCCAAGTAGGGGCCCTCCCCTTCCTCCACAGGCTCACAGCCACATGGGCAGGGCCTGAAATCTCATCTTGTGTCCCTTTCATTATCTGGAGACCTGTGATCTCCTTGGACAGCCTGCTGGGGGTTTCATCCCAACTCAGTGAAAGGTTCCCACCAAACCACCACCGCCCTGAGAAAACAAGGGCCTCCTGTGCTGAAAGGAACATTTGGATTTCAAATCCCTGGGTTCCCAAGCACATACACGTTGGTGGTTGCTGTTGGTACTGGGGATTGAACTCAGGGGCACTCCACCACTGAGCACATCCCCAGCCCTATTTTGTATTTCATTTAGAGACAGGATCTCCCTGAGTTGCTTAGCGCCTCGCCATTGCTGAGGCTGGCTTTGAACTCTAGATCCTCCTGCCTCAGCCTCCTGAGCTGCTGGGATTATAGGCGTGCACCACTGCGCCCCCGGCCCCAAGCACATTTTGGAACAAAGCCATCAGCTAGTGGTCAAGAGCTGGTTGAGTGTTTAACTATGATGGATTGAAGTCAGGGCCCGGGAGTGCTGTGGAGACTGGCTCTGGACCCCCACATCCTCCCCAGCCTTCCCAAAGGGTGCTGGAGATGGGGTCGGAGAAGGGCCCAGGAGGTAAAGGACGCTGGGCTTCAGACTTACAGATCCAGGAGATCAGAAGCAGATACTGTTTTAAGCCGTCAAGGTTGCAGCGATTTGTTGTGCGGTGACAGAAGCCTCCTTCCTGCCTCTGTGCTATTTATCGCTCTGCACCCGGGGCACTTCCCCTTCCCCCCGCTTTCCAAACCTAGCGTCCTTGTACTCACGGAACGCTGCAGCAGGGCCCTACAGGCCATCTGGCAATGGGTCCACTTCCCTGGTTTAAAGGCAGGCAAAGGATCCATCCTACCATGGCCGTGGGCATGAATACCATGAGGTTTGGGGTTTTTTATTTTTTGGTACCAGGGATTGAACCCAGGGGTGCTTAACCACAGAGCCACACCCCCATCCTTTTGGTATTTTATTTAGGGACAGAGTCTTGCCGAGTTGCTCAGGGCTTCGCTAAGTTGCTAGAGCTGGCTTTGAACTCATGATCCTCCTGTCAGCCTCCTGGGCCACTGGTATTACAGGCACGTGCCACCACGCCTCGCTGAATACCGTGAGTTCTAATAACTGGAATGCAAGTGTTCACTGCACCTGTATGGCGTGGCAGAGACTCTTCTCAGCACTTCATAAGCTCCACACATCTCACCCTCACCACGGCACTGAGAAACGGGCTTGATTATATTACTTAGAAGAGGGAGGGAAGGCTCTGCAAGGTCAAGGCATTTGCCCAAGTGCACACAGCAGGCTCCAGCTCAGCACAAAGGGACCTGCAGTATAGGCTCAGAGCCCGTCCTGAGCAGGTGGCCTGAGCTGGATGGGAATGATAAGGCTGATGTCCAGACAGGGCTGAAAAGGAGCCACCTGCAGGCAAAGTCCTTCTCTAAGGTCATGCCAATTATTCCTCGAAGGCTTCAGATTTTATCTAGGGCTTCCTGGCACACCTGACAATGGACATGTTTTGCAGAAACTCGACAGGCAGCGGCTTCCGGGAGGTAGATGCTGGGCTCTGCTGCAGCGGCAGCCTCTGGCCTACACTGGTGGACTCTCTCGGGGGTGACTGAGTCGTAGGGCCACCCCACAGTGATGTGAGGGAGCCTGGGAATGGAAATGACTCCAAATCCACACGAGCTCGCTGAGCAGAGAGAGGGGCAAGCACCGAGAGCCATCCCAACCCCACAGCATTTGGTGGCCAGAAGGCAAAAGAAGACTCCCTGCCATGGGCCCCTCTGGCATCCCCCTGTCTTCCCAGCCCCTCCTCCTCCACCAGCCACTGCTGCCCGATCAGATTCAAGCAATGTGCGGTGTGGCCAGCAACGCCTGGCCTCAGGACTCCAGTGCCCCCTGCCCAGGGCTCCTGTGACAGGAAACACCCTCAGTACCTCACCTGGCCCCTGCGACCCGCAAGAGTAAGGAGCTAACACCCCACGTGGCAGCCCTCAATCTGGACAAACCTGCCATTTTGGGTCTCAGACAACTCAGCAAGGTCAAGGCATTTGCCCAAGTGCACATTCCATTTGGTCCTTCAAGGGATTGGAGTAGGTGGCGCCCCAGTTGCCCACGGTGGTGACCAAACCCACAGTACCCCTCACTTCCTTCCCTCCTCTCCTTCCTCCTCTCTCCCAGCTCCTGGAGCCCCCCTGTACACTCTACAGAGGGTCCCTGCAGTAAGCTAAGGCCCTTCCTTCAGAAGGGGTTGGGGAACGTTCAAAGCAGAAAAGTCCCAGGCTGCTCCTCTTCTGCAGGAGAAGAGGAGCAGAGGGCCAGTGTGGCAGGAGGAGGTTGGGCCAGGCACGGATGCTCTCGCTGCCCCGGGGTGTTTCCACTGGCTGGTGGACACAGTAGTACAACACTGTTGTACACACTTTCCACCATTATCCCCTCAGTCCTCCATTAGCAGGTGTTGTGTGCTTCTGCATTTGGCTCTAGTGAACAGCTGCTATGGCTATGGGTGTGCAAATACCCGCCTGCGTCACCGTGTCCCACGCCTGGGGGCACATACCCACAAGTTCTACCACATTTTTAAGGCAAGAAGACTGAGGACGGACAGAGTGGCATTTTCTCAGGTTAGTGGGGTGCCGGGGAAAGAGATGCTCTGGACAGCTGCCTTCCTGTCTGACCTCCATCCTGGGGGTCGATCCTGGCTCCGTTTGTCCTCCGCACTCACAGGAAAGCCCCAAAGAGCCGGGCCGCTGGGACTGAGAGCCAGTGAGCAGGGACTTCTGTTTTAACACTCAGTGAAAGTGAAGGAGGTTGGGCCAGAGGAGGAGGGAAAAAGACAGAAAGCGGACAGAGGACCAGGGAGACCTCTAATTGAGGCCACTCGGGATGCAGAGCGCACGGGGGAGGCTGAACCCAGGACTCAGCCCTGCAGCATCCCCGGGCCCCTGCCTGCATTCCCTGCCAGGTGACGGATGGGGAAGGCCAGCAGCCAGCACTGGGAAAGCGCTGAGGTCACTCTGCTGTAAAGGACACCATAGGGGGGCGGACAGCCCTGAGCAGGCAGGACAGGCTAGGGCTCCTGTGCTGGGGATTCCTGAGAGGCGAGGGCAGCCAGGCTTGGCTATCTGTGGCTATCTGGGGAGAAGGACAGTCACGCTGTCCTGTGGGGGTGGCACCTCTGTGTGTTAAGAGACCTCACCTGCTGGGGGTGGCACTCGCCTGTAATCCCAGCAGCTCTGGAGGCTCAGGTAGGAGGATCGCGAGTTCAAAGCCAGCCTCAGCAAAAGCGAGGTTCTAAGCAACTCAGTGAGACCCTGTCTCTAAATAAAATACAAAAAAGGGCTGGGGATGGGGCTCAGTGGTTGAGTGCCCCGAGTTCAATCCCCAGTACCATATATATAAAGAGAGAGAGAGAGAGAGAGATTTTAACTCAGCCCTGGGGCCCCCAGCCTCCTGCTGCAGCCAGTCACACTCCATGCCTGCCTCTGCAGCCCGAAAGTCCAAAATGAAAAACACCCATGTTCTCCAATGAAAGGCACTTCCCCCACGCTCTCCACCACCCAAGCCCGCACAGCCCACCCTGAGCTACTCCCATGAGCCCAGAGCTGCCTGGCCTCCTTGGACCCAAAGCACAGGGGCAGGTCTCCCCCTCCAGCCTCCCCTCCGCCTGGCTCTGAGCTGGAGAGGCTCGCAGTGCCTGTGGGGCTGCTCTGGAGGAGAAGGTAGGGCAGACCTCAGGGAGCGGCCCCAGGGCCCAGGGACAATGCACGGCAGCCTTCCAGCCCTCTCGGCATCCTTTCCCACCTGCCTAGTGACAAATGGCATTAGGAGCTGTAAATTTAGCCAATCCTTTTAAGAACAGCCAGGCGTCAGAGGCATTACCTCCCGCTCCACTCCCCAGGGCTGGTTCGGTGACCTGCAAACCAGATGAGACTTGTCTGCTGGGCTGTCCGCCAGCCCTTCCCAGGAGCCCAGGGAGAGCCAGCCCTGACACCACCCCATTTCCTCACGGCCTTTGCCCTCTGCTCCTCAGCATCCCGCAGAACGCCCT